CACCCTCCCTCCTCTCCAAAGGCTACTTCATTGCGCTCCAATGATCTATATATTCCGGGGCTGGGTTTTACCAAATGCAACTCGCAGCCCCCGGCGAGGGGAGGGCGCCCGCGGAGAGCCGGGCGGAGGGAGGGCCCGGAGCTCAGGGGGGGGGCGTCGGGGTCCCCCCGCCCCTGCCCGGGACTTGGTCGCGTCCAGCTGTTTCCCGGGGAGTGCGGAGTGCGCGTCGCGCTCCCGCAGGGTCCCAAAAGCCCTCAGTCCCCGGCCGGCTGGGCCGCCGTCTGGAGGTTGTGTCAGCGTTTCCATGACAAAACCCGGAGGAAAAAAATACGCATAAAATCGCCTCGGTGCTGCCACCCGCTCATACCGGCGTTTGTACGGGGAAGTGGCGGGAGCCGGTGGGGCACCGGGAGCGCGCAGGGGTCTGAGGGGGTGCGAGGATTTAAAAACCGGGGACGGAGGAGGTAGCCGGGAAGTTGTCCCTGCCCCCGAGGGAGCGAGTAGCCCTTCCCGACTCCCAGCACGGGGTGGTTTCGTGGTGGTGGTGTTTTTTTGTCTTTGAAACGACAGCCCAGCTGGAGCGAAGTTGTGGAAAGGGGTTACCGAGGCTGACTTTAGGTCAAGGTTAGGGGAAGCTGCACCACCCACCCTCAGGGTCGGGCGACGGCTGAGCTTTCCCGGGGATTTATGCAGAGCCTCTGACACCCACCCCTCCACGGGGCAGAGCGGGCTGTGGATTGTAAAGCTCTGGCTCCTAAGGGGAGAGCTCCCTGAGTCTCAGCCTCCTGGATGGATGTGAGTGTGAGGATGCCCCGCGAAGTCACTCTCATCCAAATCCAAGAACAGCTGGGAAGACCAAGCCTGGCTGACTATCGCTTTCTTATATTGTGTGCAGTGATTTAAAATGTCCAATTCCATGCCTTCGATTGTTTTGCAATCAATAAAGTGGATGCGGGCAAATACCGTGATCACAGGCTCCCCAACCCAGCCCACCCATCTACCACCCGGACCCCAGATCTTGTTCTTCTGCCATTTGTGGTTTCTGTAAGCAGATTCAGGCACTGTCATGTCCCTCTAGGTTCCTTATAAATGTACGCACTATTTTTAACAGCTAAAGCATTATTTAAACTCTAACAATAAAATATACCAGGAAAAATATTCTTGTAAAGACTCTCTGACTTTTGTACCATGTAATCAAGTCGTTCCTACTATAACTTAACGATGAAACAAGATAATGTGTCTTTCAATGCTTCTCCCATAATAGGCATTTGACGAATACTTATTGAGTCTGAATGTAATGGGCCTCATCCTCTCAATACATCAGAGACACAACCTGCAAACAGATCAGGCGGCAGACACCACCGCTGTGACCTCAGTTCCCTTCCCCCCAAGTATTCCTCCAGCAGTCACCATGTGGGGGGAAGCAGCGAATTCAGCAGCCTTACCTTTGATTACAGAAGACAATCAATTACAGCACAGTATGTGTGTAGCTGTTCTGGACTGTATCCGTGTGTGCTCACATGTGAATGAGTTGCAGCCTAGCTGAACAAGCTCCAGCACAAAGTCATTCTCCAGTGATTGCCCTTAATTCCTGCTTTCACTAATGCGGTGGGGGGAGCAGCTGTGTGAAGGGATTTGCTCCCTGCTCACTCAGCGGGCCCCTCACCTTCCAGGGCAGAGACCACACTGTACCTGTACAAAGGCCTGGACATGCATAAAGCAGCCTGGGACGCCACAGGGCCAAGGGAGAGGTCAGATGTCAAATCCTGGTGGGTCATGGAGGGGTCAAGGTGGCCCACGTGGTGAGGAAGGATGGGGAGCCATGCCCAGCCTTCCACAATCAGGGTTTGGCCTAAACATACAGTGAGGGGTAAGGTTCTGACAGGGAAACTACCACCTCTTCCGAGAAGCCTGCCCTGATTTCTCACCTGAGGTGGCCTCTGTGCTCTGAGCACTAGGTCCGAACCCCTCTTGAGTCATTGTACCTACTAGGCTGAGTTTTGTTCGTTTCTGTCTCTCTGTGATGCTCAGCATAGCAGCTGGTACCTAGTAGGTACAAATAAGTCAGAGATGGAGAGGTGACGCTTTCTTGGGGTAGAAAGTTCAACTAGTTGTTTTAGGGTTGAGGGAAAAGTAGAGTCACTGCTTCCTTTCCATTAGCATCCTAACAAAACTCGGTTACAACTTTTGTGCATGCTACATGATAAATATTGGTCCTATAAAGGACAGTGTTGACTGATAAAGTTGTGGGAAAAGGAGATTTGATATTTTGAACTTTGTGGAGAGGGAAACAGAAGTTTGCCTCTCAAATCAAGCTTTCTGTCTTTCCAGTGTAACAGTCAGATGGGCTGGTTTTGCTGCAGTAACAAACAAGCCCTAACTTCAGTGGCTTAAAGCAACCAGGGCTCATATCTCACTCCACCACATGCCTGCGGGATCAGCAGAGGAGCTGTACATGTGGCACAATTCAGAGATCCAGCCCACGGAAGCACGTGTCGCTCTGTCCATCATTTATCGGCCAGAACTACTCATATACTGCTCCACTCTATGCCCAAGTCAGGCAGTCAGAGAGCCTAAAGTATGTGGGGCACCGTCTTCCTGGCTGCAAGTTTGTAGTCCCTTTTTGGATCTTATTTTCCCTCCTTTTTCTAAATTCTGTTTTGCCCCAAGAGCTTCTGCAAATAGTCACCGTTGCTCATTATAGGACTTGGCTTAACCTTTCGGTTGATCCTTAGGCATGAACCCTTCCTCTCCAAATTCAATAACCTGCAAATGGCATTGGGGCCTGTCTGTGTCAAAGCTGGGTATGGCCCCAAAAAACACGTTGAGGAAAAGACCTACGTATATTGATCCCAGATCATTCATAAGGAGAGGAAGAAATGGTTGCAAAACCCAAACTCCGGCTCCTCTGTGCCACTCGCGGCGAACAGACAGATATTCACCAAGCCCTGCAGGCCGAGTGCTACCTCATTCCTGCAGATGACGCCTTCAATGCACCGTCTTGTTGAGATCCTGCGGGACTGGCAGCCATGGCCCTTTCCGCAGGTTGTGGGGGGAGAGGAGTGGGCCCCAGGGCCCTGGTAGACAGAGAGCTCCTTAGCCTCCTTGGGGCAGGGGGGCATGTGTCCTGCCAGCACCGGCCAGGGGCCCCACACTGGCTCCTCCAAGGACTGGCTTTGCCCATTTGCATCTCTCTGTCACCTCCAGCACAAAGTACGCTCAGTTACCCAGAGCACAGTAAATATTTGTGGAGTTGAATTTAAAAACATTTGTGCACAGCATGTGGAGATCCAGGGTACAAATCTTCTACAGGTAGGTAAACCGCAGGTACACAAGCAGGTCACTCATGACAGCGGAGAGCAGGCTGCGCTTCACGGCCTTTTAGAACAGGATGGGGGAGAGAGAAATGATGGAAGGGACAGAGAGAGAAGAAAGGAGAGAGAATGGGAAGAAAATGAGCAAGAGGAGAGGGAGGAGGAAAGATGTGCCCACTGTTACTGTTTGACTATCGGATGCTGCCGTGGCTCCTCTGCCCCCTTCCCGAGGAGACAGGTCTGTGGCACCTGGACCCTGCCCCACGCCCGCTCCACCTGCCCCCAGGTGGCCTCCATCACCCTCCTGGCCCCTCGGAGCTGCTCATCCTTCTCAAGTATTTCTTCAGAGGCAGCCCCTGGTCAACTCCCAGATGACAGAAGCTCTCAGGCTGCAACCAAAAGACCTCCCCCCGCCCCACCAGGGCACCCCCAATAAGACAGGGGTGCATCTCCATCTCCACAGCTCTCCGGGCCAGGTCCCGCTCAGTACACATTGCCCCTGACCCTAGCCCTCTAGATGGGGGCCAGTGTTATTCTCTCATGAGGAGGAAACTGAGGCAGTAAAGGTGACCTAACACCCCCAGGGGCCCACAGTGGTGTTGGCAGACCCAAGGTCACAGAGCCAGAAGCCAGGCAGCGAGTGGCAGTGGCCCCACGGTCCCTTCTCTCCTCTCCAGACTGTTCGTCGGGCTGAGGGCTCAGATGGACCCGTGTGACCCAGAGCAGGTCACTTCACCTCTCTGAGCCCTGCTTTCTCCGCCTGTAACATGAAGGTGGCTGCAGCTGCCTCCTTGGCCAGATGCCAGAGAGGGTGACATGGCACTCAGTAACCTCAACGATGCTTTGGGCTTCTCCTTCAGAGCCCCTGTGACCGTTTTCCAGGCCCCCTGCCTCCTGCTGCTCCGCAGTTAGGACATTAGCGTTACTTAGGCCCTCTGACATTCCCTGAGAAATACTTAATGAAATATCTGTGTTTATTACCCTGTATTTTTTACTTCTCCACTCCGCCTCCACTTCAGATAAGCTTTGTGCTACCTTGCCTGAGGGAGTTAATAAAGACTTTCTTGGGAAAAATTTTTAAGCTATGAAAGAGATGCCCTGGCCAGGTAGCCTAATTGCTTAGAGCGTTGTCCTGATATGCCAAGGTTATAGGTCCGATTCCGGTCAGGGCACATCCAAGAATCAACCAATGAGTGTACAGATAAGTGGAATGACAAATTAATGTTTCTTCCCCCTCCCCTTTATTCTCTCATCAAAAGAAAAATTAAAAAATAGCCGAAACCAGTTTGGCTCAGTGGATAGAGCGTCGGCTTGTGGACTGAAAGGTCCCAAGTTCAATTCCGGTCAAGGGCATGTACCTGGGTTGCGGGCACATCCCCAGTGGGGGATGTGCAGGAGGCAGCTGATCGATGTTTCTAACTCTCTATCTCTCTCCCTTCCTCTCTGTAAAAAATCAATAAAATATATTTAAAAAATAATGATAATAAAAAAAACTATGGAAGAAATAATGCCAGGGAGAGAAGGGGAGCTTTGGGGGAGATTTTGAAGGG